CTTCGGTAATCTTAGATTACTGGCCGGTTATGGTGCCAAACCCATAGGGGCGGGTTTGGGCTGTGACAGTTATACTATTGACTGGTTTTCATTTCCATAAACGAGAGCAAAATCTGGTATTCTAAAACCCCTTGGGTATTCATGCACCCTATCTACCTATTTTGGGTATGGCTTTTTATATACAGGAGTTTGAACCCTCCGAGCCATAGGTCCACATATTTCTCTGACAATATTAGTAATTTGGTCCCTAGGAACCATATTTTGTGCTTGTTGGACTACCACTAGAGGAACAAACACAGGATTTTGTAAAAACCCTTGTGCTTGAGGCCTTCTTGGTCCATAGGGAGGTATATTTAGGACTGGTTGTCCTTATGGTATTGGCTGCTGTTAAGGGTATGGTTGACCTCTCTGAGCCTGTCCTGCGAAAGGACCTACAAAAGGTGCTGCAATAGGAGGAATAGGTGTTGTTTCTCTCCCAAATGCAGGAAACCCTTCCAACCCCCGGGTGTGAACTCGAACAGAGGATTAGCGAACTCCCTTATGCCAGGTATGGCTTTGAACATGGGATTTGAAAACATTTTCATGCCATTTTCTTGTGTTGGCTCAGATCTACCAATTTGTATGGCTTTGTTGTCAGTTAATGAGACATTTTGATTTACTACACGCCTCGAAAGAGGTTCATACCATGATTGAGGTATAAGTGATGGCTTTTATAATTTTGATTACTATTCTGACCATTAGTATGTCCATTAGTTTGCATAGACTGTTTATCTCTAGCCAATCTTTGCTGAGGAGCATTTGAATTTTTCTCTATATGCCTTGTGCTAGTTGGTTGATGGGAATTTATTCGATCCATAAAGGATATTACCCATTTTTTCCATTATGTTCATTAACTGCTGTCCCATGGCATTTACCAAGCCTTTCCATGGATTCATTGGCTGAGTAGATAGAACAGTGGATGGTTCAATTCCATGGCCTCGTCTAATATTTTGAACATGTGGTAGATGTTTTGAATTGCTAGTCTGTTCGACCATAGGTTCTGATGAGATAGGTGCTTCCATAGGACATGTTATCACATTTTCCTCTAGATCAGGTACTTCTACCTCTCCCTTCACACCTTCTTTCAAGTGTTCATTTTCTCCTTGTCTCTTACGTTTAGCCATTTCAATTAGTCCCACTGGCTGTGCCAAAAAATATATGTTGACTTTTTTGACTTTCGAAGGTTAATAATGCAATTTTAAGCATGTTAGTAAGGATCAATTAGTCCTTACAGAATATTAATTGCCAACCAATTATCAGACGATTGTGTTTTAGTTCTCTTATCTTTAATGAAGAGGACTTTCACTGGTGGCTTGTTTAGAAGAATTTAGTAAATAACAACAAGTGAAGAATAATTTTAAAATCTGAATTTCATTAAGTAAAATGAAAAACTCACAATGATTTGACCCAGTCTTGTAGAGGTTTACAGTAACAAACTATTTGAAACTACTCCTAGGAATGAAGTGCAGTACAGGAATTGAAGTGCATAAATGTAAAAAACTGTAAAAACTAAAAGGAAAAACGAAGTAAATAAACTGATTTTTTTATCTGAGTCTGGATCCTTCATTTTGGGGCCTTTTTTGCTATTTATACTTTCCAATGATAACCGTCGAAGTGGGTTTTCAACCGTCAAAATGTCCTCCCATGATTGCTGAACATGCTCTCCATAGTCAGTCCTACTACGCCACTCTTGCCGTTAGGCTTCCCTCTTGATTTTGAATTTAAACTTTGTGAGTAACCGTTAAGCCACATCATCTTACATTTTTCCGCTGACCCAGTACTACGCAGATCCATGATTACTAATGCTAACTGCCACATGTCTGATTTCGATTGAAGACTTGAATTAACTCCTCTTGTTGCCCTCATCTTGCCACGTGTTAAGCTGTGATTGGCCTATACAAAATGTGTAGCCAACACTATTATAAAATGTTATCAGCAATTGTCAAAGTGACTACATTTAAAAGAAGTTTAAATTTTAAATTTGTGAAATTAAAACTACGGATATTAAAGCAAAAGTTCGATCAAATTAGAGAAGTCAATAATATAGTTTATCATCTTGTTAATCAACAATTAATGGACACCTAGACTGAGAGTGTCAATCAAAATACAAGATATATGTGACATCTATGTTTAATTTGTATGTTTGTAAGCATGTTAATTAGTTGTTAAAATTGACTACTCCAAAGTCCAGGTCACACACCATGAGTTAAGTGGAGTTATAACTATTTTAGTTTAAAGCGTAAAAAAAGAAAAAATATGGAGACATGCATTGGGTATGTGGTTAGAAGCTGCGCTTGTGCGTTTATTAAAAAAAGTCAAACGTTAGCTTTTTTGTGCACAAACCCATTTGGGAGGTTGGTTAAATGCAATTTACGAATAAACCCTCCATTCACTTTTTAAGGTGATGGAGATTGAAAGGGTAAAATTCTGTAATTATCAAATAGGGAAGGGATGTTTTGGCCTTTTACATTATGGCATGTTAATGTGACATCATAAATAAATATTAACCCAAAAAGTAAAAAAATAGCTTTTTATCAACTTCTCAAATCACTTTAAAAAAACTAAAAAACTTGATTAAAAGTCAAAAGACAATTTTTAACCATATTCCCAAAGTATTTCAGAGTATATCAACCTACTCCAGAGTATATCAACCTTTGAAGGATTTTTGGAACTTATTTTATTATTATTATTTTTAATATTTAATATTTTATAATTTTCCCTAAATCATTAATGAGCATAAAAATTGGGATTTTTTTTTGGACTGGAACTTAAAAATAAAATGAAATTAATAGAATTGTGTATTTTTTTACTCAGTGTTTTGTTGGAGGATTTGAAAAGAGAAAGAGAAAATATGTGTGAAATTAGGTGAAATGTAAGTATATTTTAGGATGATGCATTAATAAATCCCAAATTAATAACTTATACACTGTTTAGTCCTAAAAGTTTTCTTATAGACTGAAAGGTCCCATTACAATGTTTGAAATCAGATTTTAAACATTAGATTTTAAGCATCGTGAAAAATTACAATAATGTTTCAAACATTAGATTTCAAACATCTAATGTTCATCAGATTTCAATAATGTTTGAAATTATAGAATGAAACATTAAATTCATTTACCATCATGCACATCAGATTTCAATAATCTAATGTTTACCATCATGAACATCAACATCAGAACATCATGAACAAAACATCATCGAATCTGGGTTTAGATCCCACTGGCAATCGCAGAAAGGCGTCGAGTTGGTCCTCTCCGGAGACGTCTTGATCTTCGTCCATCTCTGCTATCTGATCGTCTTTTGCGAAGAAAACAAAATGAATGGAACCAATAGAAAGGAAGAGGATTGATGTTGCTGATGTTTTTGTGATGTTGCTAATGTAGATCAAGCAATTGGGCGAAATGTGTAGTTCGAATATCAAGAGAAGGACAGACAAATTGTCTTCATACTGCGGCGGTGAAACGATTGGGTTAGGGTTTTTGGAGGCCGATTTCTGGGTCTTTGAAGCAAATTTAATTGCTGGTGAATTCGAAACTTTCATACTAGGGCTTGTGAGATTGGGATTTGAATTCTCAGAATCTTTTGAGATTTCTAAAATCTTCGATCCATTGGGTTGTGGGTTTGACGATGTTGTTCTTCTCTTACTGGCTCTGCTATTTTTCATTTTCTTATTCTTCGCGATGTTTGATGTTTGACGATGTTTTTCTTCTTCGCGATTTAGAATTCTCATCAATTTTTTTAGATGTTGCTAATGTTGCAATGTTGCGATGTTGCGATGTTGCTTGAGAGATGAACCGAAGCAGGAGGGTTTGCGTGTATGTGTTGGAGAGAGAGAGAGAGATTCTTACAGAGAGGAAGATGAAGATATGTGATGATGAATGATGAACCAGAACCAGGTTATGGCGGGGATAAGGTTTTTAAGGGAAAAAAATTAATTAAATTACGATGATATTTGTGATGTTGCCGATTTTTAGTGGTTTATTGATGATGGTGATTTTTTTTAAAATGAATCTGATGTTTGAAACACCCACAAACATAAAAAATATCGGATGATGTTTGATGTTGTTTTGATGATAATGTTTGATGTTGTTTTGATGATGATGTATAAATGGGACTAAATGGTGCATAAGAAAATTTTTAGGACTAAATGGTTCACCTTTTCAGAAAATAGGATTTATGAGTAAATTTTTCTATATTTTATTTATATTTCACCTATATTTTTTATTTTTTTTTCCAAATCTCTCATCAAATTTCCGACCAAACACTGTGTGTCTTGCATAAAAAAATAAAAAAATACATACTTGAAAAAGTTTATAATGCTAATTATTAATGTTTATAAAATTTATTATTGATCTGTAATTATTTTAAAAAAATTACATTAAGTTATGATTTCCCCTTATTTATTTAATAACTTCATTAAATAAATTACACTAAAGGTTGGTTTGAGATGTTTTAAAAAAAGTATACTTTTTGACTTATTGATTTATATAAATTGGATTTGGGTTCGATTTGATGTAATGTGTTAAAGAAGTGATATAATTTAAATAAGATGATGTGATTTAAATAAAATAATAACTTTTTGTAAGTTATGCCAAGCTTGACTTAAGTTATAATTTTCCCGTATTTATTTAACCATTTTAAGTGTCATCCTTTGTTAAAAGGACAATTATTCCCTTGAAGAAAGTTCAAACACGTCCTTCCTATATTTTGACGGTGTTTGGGAATTTAGTTTGGTTTTTTTTTTTTTTTTTCACTACAAAATAAATATTTTATAAAATTAAAAAAAATAAATTCAAATAAAATATCATATTAAATTTCATAATTATTTTATTTTTTTTCTCATAAACAAAAAATCTAATTTTTTTTCAAAATACAAAAAAAAATTTCTTCAATAATACCTTACAATTAAAAAAACTACAAAAAAAAATCCACTTCCAAAACACACAAAATTCTGACGTCGAAAATTTCAAGGGAAAATTTCCAACCAATATTTGTTTCTCCCTCCAGATTAAAATTGCTGTCCTCTCCTTTCTCTCGAACCAAACACAGAGCTTAATAAAGTCCAAACAACTCGTTTCTTCACTTTACTTTACTGTCCCGATGCTTTCATGGTAACCAAACAGTCCGTCCGTGTCAGCGTCAGTCCAGTCGGCCTCTCGCTTTCTTCTGTAGAACCAAAGGTACGATTTTCAAATAAACTTATTTCAAAAGAGTTCAATTTCAGTTCTTTCTCTTCCAATTTTTCTTTAATTGTTGATAACTCTTATTTTGGCAATAATTCGAACTAGTTTGGGGTTTTTCAATTTTACTAGCTTTGAATTGGAACAAAAGGTTGTTTAACAGTCACCACAAATTTGATTTACTTTTGATGGTTCATTCACTAATCTAGCTGTAGCTTAGTGTGTTGTAGTTAGGTCTATGAAGGAGATTTTAGGTTTTAAATTATTGGAATTGTCAGAAAACAGTTACAATATTATTAGTGATAAATTTATATGTTTCTTGTTTCAGTTGTTGAGTTGACTTTGGATCAGATAACTTTGCTCAGATTCTCACACTATAATAAAATAAAATTTTGGGAGCTGCATATTTGAACCGAGTTTATTGGATGTAGGTGGAGGGTTATGAGGATGGGGACCTCTCTCTCGCACCCAAATCGAGAATCATACCACTATACCATATATTGTAGTATTAAATTTGTCGTCAATAGATTGAAACTGGAAATGGGTCGTACTATGTGTGTTATTCTGCAATTAGAAGCATTAATTGCTTGAAGTGATATCACTTGGATAGGCATGTAGTAACGAAAATGCTATAGACTCTAAATAATTTATCAAATTTTTTATTAAAGCTCTCACATAGATGTGGGACTCACACAAACCCGCATGTGTGTGGGTCCCACAGCCATGTGAGAGGTTTGGTAGAAAATTTGATAGATTATTTGGGATCCCTAGCATAACTCATGCAGTAAAAGTTCCAAGAAATGTTTGAGGATTTACCAAGTTCACTTTGGAATTTGCTTGTGTGGATTCGTACTTAGACCGTATCTTTGAAAATACAGCATACACCCTTTCCTCTCAAATGGTTTTTAGTTTGCATAAAAAGAAAAGGTTTCTAGTATTTTTTTCATTAATTGTACATTTGGAGACGACTCATGGTAAGACATTCAGGTGTCTTGATATAGGGAATCATTATAATAGAGCATAACTACATTTGATTAATTAGAGTATGACAATCCAATTTTTACAGCATGATATGGAGATTAGCTAGGAAGCACAGATACGGATACGGGATACGGATACGATACGATACGGATACGGCGATACGACAAAATTTGAAAAATTAAGATACGGGTACGGCGGGGATACGTTCATAAAAAATATTATTTTAACAATTTTTAGTAATGCAATATGCATAAAAATAAAACGTAAAGCAAAAGATAACTTGATAGTTGATAAAGAAGAAAAATTCCTATAAAACTAAGAGTCTTCAAGGTCAATAGCTTCAACTTGTTCCCCTTCATCAGTGAATATCACAGACCTTAGCTAAAGCCAAAAAACCATTCTTAAATAAAAATTTCAGCAAATATACTTTTTTAAGTCATCAATGATAGCCTAGGAAGCACGGATACGGATATGGTGATATGGGGATGTGGATATGGCGATTTGTCAAAATTTGAAAAAGTATGATACAAGTATAGCGGGGATATATTCGTAAAAAAAAGAAAATTATAATTTTAATAATGTTATGGGGATGTGGATATGGCGATATGTCAAAATTTGAAAAATTATGATACAGGTACAACGGGGATACATTCGTAAAAAAAAAAAAAATTATAATTTAAATAATGTAATATGCATGAAAATAAAACTTAAAGTAAATTAATAAATAAAAAGAGAGATTCCTATTAACCTAAAAGTGCTCAAACATTCATAAAACATCCAAAACTAAAAGCAAAAGCAAAAGCAAAAGCAAATGCAAATTAAACATTACATGCCAACACCAAAAAAAGAATGAGAGCAGAGAGAAGAAACGTGAGAGAGTGAGAAAGCGAGAGAGAAGTGAGAGAGACAACATCAATTTGACAAATTCTATTACTTTAACTCGCACTATATTCCTCTTATCAAAGAACTAAACAAAATATTATAAGTAATATGTAATTTCGAGTATCCGATACTTCAAAATTAAGTATCCGATACTTCAAAATTAATAAAAAATTAATTAAGAAATATCCGATACTTTTAAGAAGTAATCCGATACGTATCCGCGAGTATCCGAGGAGTATCGGTATCTGATAAGTATCCGATACGGATACGTCACCCTTTTTGAAGTATCTGTGCTTCATAGGAGATTAGTTATGAGAACTTGTGAAACCAAATAAAAAATTAAGTCCTAAACGTATGATTTTTTTTTTTTTGGATTGTCCTACTAGTTTGTAACATATGTGGTTGATATTAGTTTGAAAAACCACAAATAGAGACATGCTGACCATCCAACAGGGACACAACTAGCAAGGCCTTATCTTATTCAGGTGTTTTGGTTTTAATTAGTTCGGAGGCCAAATCTCTCTTTGATGGTGTATGACTTGTATTCTTCTATTCTAATTCTAGTGTTGTGTTGGCTGTAATTGAACCTGATTGCCATGAATGCTGTCACAAATTCACAATCAACTCTTTCCTGTAATTTTTTGCCTGGCGATGGCAGCAAATTACACTTGGTGGTCTCAGCCCAACACACACAGACACAGACACACGCAGAGGTCTGTGTAATCCATGCTTGACACAATAAGCATTAAAGGCACACATGAGTTTATAGGGAAAACACTCCAACCTTTATTACTTTTCACAAGTACAAAAGATTACACCAAGACTTGCTTTCACAGTACCCGAGATCCCTCTCATATCTTGCAGATCATTGCAAAGCTACAATTTAAAGAACCCTAACAGTTACTAGCAATTGATGCCACTAGCCGCCTAGGGTGTGCATGCAACAACCAACACTTGCAACATAGCCCCATCCAAAACTTCTCACAACCGATGCCTTGCTGATTGGAGCACAACCTTATGCACATAAGAGGAACGGATATGCTTGTCTCAACCAAGACACACATTGGCTCCAGACCATCATGATAACCGCCTGTAACTGACTTGGCCTGATGTCTGCACACACATGTGCTCGCAAATCCCAACACTTAGTCACACAACATGGTTCATCCTAGTGCTCTTGGCAGCCCTATGGATCTCATCAATCCATCAAGTCCATGTGTTGCACCAAGCCCATATGCCAAACGTTGTGCTTAGGTCTACAACTTACACAAAGGGGTCCCTAGCATGCAGGACGATGCCTTTGCCATGCTTACAACCATGCACCACCATATGCATTGCCTACATAACACATTGCCTTAGCTTGCAAGGCAATGTAGGCCCGCCTAGATGAGGGACATATCCCTCCCTCGATCCATTTTTGAACTGGCAAGGGGAAGCATCAAGTATGCTTGAAGAATCACAACGTGATATTCATAAAAATGTCACCATGTCCAAATAATTATGAAAGTGCCCCTGCCCAAGCAAGCATTAAGATTGCCCCAATCTTGGGTCACACTGCTACCCAGCACTCTATCCAAGTGCTCACCAAGTCCACAGCACCACAAGTTTGCACCAATCAAAGCCCATATGCCCACACTTGCATGCCACCAAGGGCCAAAGTGCCCACCAATGTATCAAGGCCTTGGTTTGTTGCTACAATGCCCTATCGCAGGGGCTGAGAGCCAAAATTTTGAGAAACTCTTACAATATAAGGCTAAGCCAAGCCAAATGAGAGTCATGCTTGTGCACAAAGCCATACCACCTACTATTGTTCACCAGCCTACACATGCTGCTTTTATCACAGATGCAAGTGTGCCTTGGCCTAGTGTCATGGGCCGACTCCTTTAGAGGCGCAGCGGATCAATTTTTGCCCGTGTGGCGCTCAAACTCCACCAAGTTTAAGCCTGCCATAGCTCGTTGACAAATCGAGTGTTGATGATCTCACCTGTTTGAACATTAGGGCCCAATGCTTTGTCAAGCAAAACAACTTCACAAGGAAGCTTCGTCTTCACCCGGATGCCACAAGTAGGCCTGACGCGTCAAGTGCACCAAGCACGGCATAAGTTGCTTCATAGCGCCAAGCTTATCTCAAATAAGGTGCTCGCCCAACTTAGGTTTATGTCATCAAGGTGCCTAGCCACACAACAATGTGCTAGCAAAGGTCCTTAACTTAGCCGACGAGCCAACGTTGCATGTTGGGTCTTTAGTAGCATCTCGAAGTGTCGTAGGGTCTAGCATGCCTCAATAGATGCATATTGGATGGCCACTTGGCCATGCGAAGCCCACAAGCCACCGAGGGTCAATCTCTCGCCCACGGCGTAATCCTTGTGCCAACACGTGTGTTAGATTCCGCCTAAGGCCATTGCGCACCTTAGCGTTGCACCAACGTGTAGCATGAGTAGGCAACATCTCAATTCGTAACTTGCTTGTAGCATAATGTAGTCCCTCAATGGACTTAGTCAATACGTAGCTTGATGCCTTCATTCGATAGCCCACATATGCGGTGTTGCCGTCCAACCGCTTAGCTTAAGCCACGGGATCCCCTCGTGCAAGGTTGAACCCAAACCAAGCACTTGAGTTGGCACACGAGGCCTTTAGTGGTGCCTCGATAGCCCATTCGGTCCAAAACGAGTCCCAAAGATGCCATATTGCGTAGCATAATGGAAACAACGTAGTGGACCTCCCACCCGGGAGGGTGCGCGCAGTGCCTACATTATTGCACCGTCCACGGGGCTCCCAAACCCACGTGGAGATTTTAGACACCCCTCTGGATGCCTAAAGCCCGCCCTTGAGTTACCCCAAGGTTACTCACTTGAAGCCTAGTTTGGGCGGGGACGTAGGTAGATAGCACACTTTGCCCCCTTATATATGCTTGTTAAGCAATTTGCCCTCTGGCAGGAGGAAACATCATACATGTCTGAGGAGTCATAATGATTTTTCATAAATTTCACAATTTGAGAAAAATCACGAAACTTGGTCGGGAAAACACTTTCTCTAAGACCTATCTCCAGTAAAAATTTTAGCCCAAAATTCTTTCGTTTGAATGCCGAAACAACGCGCCAAAATTCTGCACTGTTGGCTGCTACTGCTGGCTGGTGCTGCTATATTTTGCTGCTGCTGGCAGCGCTGGTTGGCTATTGGCATGGGCTGCGGCTTTGCCGTCTGCTGGCTATTAGTAGCCTACATGCCTTGGGCTACTTGGGGCCAATGTTAGGCCACGTTGGGGCACTTCCAACGGCCACTCTTGAGCACTCAAATGGCCACACCACCGCGAGCGAAATGTCACAGAGTTAACCTTGCAAGGCAACCCGTGACACCTAGGCATAGGTGCTTGACTTTCCACCTATAAAGCACGGACACCTCTCCGAAGGTTGCGTATCAGTGTTGGACACAGACACGCGTCGGACACGAGGTTGACACGTGTCCGACACGTTGCAGAAGGTGGCCGAATTTTTTTTATATTTTTTTGCAGCCGGACACGTAACGGACACGTTTGGATACGTTCGGGACACGTTCAGGGTGAAATTCCTAATTTATGAAACTTCTGTGGGGTCAATTTGTAAAAAGCAAAAACAGAACATGTAATCTAATGCTCGTTGATCGACAGAGAGAGCAGAAGAGAAAGAGAACAGAGAGAACACCTGGTTGCTTATGGGTGGTCGTTCGTCTCTCGTCGGTGGTCGTTCGTTGGTGGTCGGTTGTTTGTGGTCTGCTATCTAAGGTACAACTTCTTCTTCTTCTTCGATCTTCTTCGTCTTCTCCAATCTTCTCTCTCGTCTCTCTCAATCGCTCTCAGTCGCGCTCTCTCTCTCTCTCGCAATCGCTCTCTCGCTCTCTCTCTTTTCTGATCTGCTTTGACCTCTTCATTTCTTTTCTTTTATCTGATTTTTTTTTCTTTTATAGGGTCAGTTTTTAGTGTAATTTATCTGTCCCTCTTTTATTTTTTTTCTTTTTCTGATTTCATTTTATATTTTCTTCTCTCCTCTCTTATTTTAGTGTATATATATATTTTGTTGATTAATTTTGTTAATTTTAATAATATATGTTTATTAATTTTATTATAAGAATTAATTTTTAATTATGAAACAATGGCTATTACGGGTGGTATTTTTTATTACCTTTCTATGATTCTTTTTTTTTTTTAATAATTTTATGACATATAATAATAAATTTAATTATATATATTGAACGTGTCCCCAGCGTGTTGTGTCTCCTATTTTTCAAAAATTTGCGTTTTTACGTGTCGAGTGTCGTGTCGCGTGTCCGTGCTTCATAGTCCACCAAATGCCTTGGCCCGAGCCAAGTATCAAGCTGCTAAAAGATGTCCACTTGATGTACTTATAAATGAATGTTCCTTTGTCAGGTGTTATAGTCAGGTATAATTTATGGAGTGAGCGTAAATACTTTTCTTTTGTGACAAGTTTAGTCGTGGTTTGTTTCTTTTAAAATCAATATTTTCTGCTTATATTATTATATTGGAGCATAAAAAATTACATTTACAGTGATTAACAGGTTTTGTTGAAGTTTTTTTAGCTTGCTTCTCATTTGTACTCTGTTGTTGTTGTTGTTGTTTTTTTTTTTTAAATCTAGCATAAAACTATGCAGATGGGTTAGCAAAAGCACTAATAAAATTGGGGCATTCCGAGAATTGAACTCGGGACCTCTTGCACCCTAAGCAAGAATCATACCACTAGACCAAATGCCCGTTTGTTGTTGGTATCAGGTTTTGTTTCTGGCTAATGTGTTTGATTAGATCTACCATTTGTTGCTGCTTAAGTATTTATCAGCTTGTTGACTTAATATAGCTTTCATAATTAATGTCCTCCCCAAACACATTCTCCCCCAGCTACCAGCATTTAGTCCATCAGCAATTTCTCAGATTTTGATCTCAGCTTGTTGACTTATGATACTTATAATTGAATGTTCCTTTATCAGGTGTTATAGTGAAGTATAATTTATGGGGTGAGCGTAAATGCTCTTTTGTGACAAGTTTAGTCGTGGTTTGTTTCTTTTCAAATCAATATTTTTTGCTTATTTATTATTATATTGACGGAGCATAAAAAATTACATTTACAGTGATTAACAGGTTTGTTGAAGTTTTTTTAGCTTGCTTCTCATTTGTACTCTGTTTTGTTTTGTTTTGTTTGTTTGTTTGTTTTTTTTTTTTAAAAACAAAAATAAAAAAATAAAAAAATCTAGCATAAAACTATGCAGATGGGTTAGCAAAATCACTAATAAAATTGGGGCATTCTGAGAATTGAACTCGGGACCTCTTGCACCCTAAGCAAGAATCATACCACTAGACCAAATGCCCAATTGATTCTTGAAATGCCAAATATGTAATTAATGTGCTTGATGGAATTTGCCATTTATTGTAGTTGAAAATCTGTGTGTGCATCTTGAAGTAAATGCATTTGAGATTTCATTTATACCTTTCTTAATTGTCATACATATTATAGCTTTACATGCCTCTGATATAATTATTATTTTAACAATCAAAAAGGTTTGATAGCTGTAATTTGTTTATTTCATATATGAATTAATAAATTTACATCTTCAATCATAGCTGGCCCACCTTGATATTTTATTATTTTTCAATCTACTTAGAAGCAATCTTGTTATACTTGTATTTAGGTATATCAGTGACATTTTCTGCTAAAGTGTATGAGTTGACTTTGGATCACATGCTTTGCTTGGATTTAAAAATAGAATAGAAGAGGGCATTAAAAACTATATGAGCAAATTAATACACTGCGTTAAGGTGGGGCATTTGCTCCCGAAGCAAGAATCATACCACTAGACCAAATGCCCGTTTGTTGTTGGTATCAGGTTTTGTTTCTGGCTAATGTGTTTGATTAGATCTACCATTTGTTGCTGCTTAAGTATTTATCAGCTTGTTGACTTAATATAGCTTTCATAATTAATGTCCTCCCCAAACACATTCTCCCCCAGCTACCAGCATTTAGTCCATCAGCAATTTCTCAGATTTTGATCTCAGCTTGTTGACTTATGAAGGCCTGTTACAATTTACAGGAGTAGTTGCTTTTGTTTGATCAACGGTCCTGCATCTGAAATGTTTTCTTTGTGTCTGCCACTAAATTGAATATCACAGCCAGTCAATGCTGTACAATGGTTAAGTGTTTCTGTTGGATTAGGCTTGGCTCAACTGGACAGACTCTCTGGACCTTGAGGCTGAAGAATGAATGGCCATGGCCTTTTTTGTCCCAAAGGAAATATTAAATTAAAAAGACAAACATAAGAAGAAAGGAAGAAATATAAAAGAAAAGACAAAGAAGAGAAGCAAAACAAATTCATATATTTAATTATCCAAGCCGGGCATTCAGAGAGTTAAACTGGGAACATCTTTTCTTGCAGCCTAAGTTGAATATCAAAACTACACACTTTTCTGCACTTCTTTATGTGTGCCATCTTCTGTTAGCAATGAGTCTGACTGGAGTTATTAGTATCCACTTTTTTCCAGAGAAATTGTAGTTTGTTTTCTTGGGAAATCTAGTTTGTTGTGTGATTTTCTTTCATGGAATAGCCATGTGCTCTAATTTTAGAACTCTTTTAAATATTTGATTTCCAGGATGGCGTAATAGCTCCTGCAACTTCAAATGATAGGCCATTTAGGTGTGCTCATTGTTTTCTTCTTGTTTTTATCGTGTTTAAACTGATGTAATGTTTGTCGCAGTTGACTTCATTTGCATTGTCTTTGAGATAATATGAACTTGGCGAATGGCCTACATAATTCACTGTCCCTGAATGATCTGTGTCAGAGTTATTTCTACAAACAACTTATATGGGCGACCGAGGTTGAGTTCCTCTTCACGTCATTTTTGATGTTATCCTTTCAAGTTTTTTTTTTTGGTTTCACAAAAGAAACTTCAATCTGTGTTGTAGGCTCCCCAAATGTTTCTCTGTGGTCAAGACTTTTAGTCCAAGTAAAACCCATGGCTCATCCAGACAATCTTTGAGCTGCAATTACAAATTTGTGAGGAAAAGTTTGGCTATTTACCTTCTTCCTTCTTCTTTGTTAATGTTTTTAACTTTGTTTCGCTATGTTTTGTTACCCACTTAAGTAGTTTTCATTTATAGGAATCTTGCCAGTAAAGAATTAAGACTTAAAAATTACAGTTGCACCACCAATTTCTCCTCTTGGTGCTCAGTTTCTCTAGCTTTTGACTATCTTATCTAATAAAATACTTATTTCTGTAAGAAATAATGTATAGAGAAAGAGAGAGAATAAATTGTATGTATTATTATTGATTGATATGTTGTTATCTATTACAATGATTCATGATTCCTATATATAGAAGAGGGTGAGTGTGTAGTAGGTAAGGAGTAGGTGAAGTGGAGGTGGTAGTGGTGTAGTGGGTTAGGTTTAGTGGAGTAGGTGAGGTGGTAGTGGTGTAGTGGGTTAGATTTAGTGGAGTAGGTCTGCAGAGCAGGACAAATGAGGTGCAACAGTTAAACTCCCAGCTGGCTCTGCTCCAACGCATGTATAAGGATGCGCGAGCAGAGATAAGTGTGCTAAAGGCAGAAAACAAGGAGCTGAAGCGGAAGGCCACCATGAAGACAGTTTATGGGGTCATGTCGGACCGTTGTAGAAGACAGTTTATGGGGTCATGTCGGACCGTTGTAGAAGACAGTTTATGGGGTCATGTCGGACCGTTGTAGAAGACAGTTTATGGGGTCATGTCGGACCGTTGTAGAAGACAGTTTATGGGGTCTTGCTGGACCCTTGTAGAAACTAACCGGAATCTATGTCGGGACAGTTTACAGAGTCTTGTCGGACCCTTGAAGGAGCTAACCGGAATCAATGTCGGGACAGTGTACAGAGTCTTGTCGGACCCATAAAGGAGCTAACCGGAATCAATGTCGGGACAGTTTACAGAGTCTGGTCGGACCCATGAAGGAGCTAACCGGAATGAATGTCGGGACAGTTTACAGAGTCTTGTCGGACCCAATCCATAAAAAGGCGTGCCATCAAAAAGCGTGCCCAATCCATAAAAAGGCGTGCCATCAAAAGGCGTGCCCAATCCATAAAAAGGCGTGCCATCAAAAGGCGCGCCCACTTCATCAAAAGACGTGCCCGACAGAAAGCGTCGAGCCATCAAAAGGGGCGCCTGACACGCGGCGATGCACGTGATTGACAGAGCGCGTGTCGGCCTCGTCGTCTCTGTCTTTATAAACCAAAGCGAAGTCTGAGGCTTGGAAGCATAACAAACCAGTTGAAACCTCTTCGTTCTCTGTAACATTCTGTAACCAACCCTGCTCTGAAACACTCAGCAACCCAAAAACATGGCTTCTTCTTCCCGTTCAGCTACCCAGAACATAGCCTCTTCTTCCCGTGGTCTGCTCACTCTCTTTCCCGACCTCAACAAGTCAACAAGAGAGATAACTGGTGCGGTGGCCTGTGAACCTCAACCAAACACCGCTGGTTTTGCTCCGTTGAACTTTCCGATGCGGTCGGTGGAGCAAAAAATGGCAGTGCAAACTGATATTGAGGCCAATCAGTATACTTTGAAGTCATGTGTGGAAAGAATAAGAACGGTCACAAACTTTGTCGGACGCTGAGAGGCAGGACAATGGAGGTGCAACAAGTTAACTCCAGCTGGCTCTGCTCCAACTGCATGTATACAGGATAGCGCGATGCAGAGATAAGTGTGGGCTAAAGGCAGAAAAACAAGGATAATATTAGAAGGAGGAGGAGGGAAGAGAGAGATTCCTTGTTTAATAGATCTATACGATTTTTTGGATACGCCGCCATCTCCTAATAACATAGAGAATATAGAGAGAATAGAAGAGAAGATTAATACATAGAAATATGCTACTCATTTGTCCTGCTCTGCAGCTCGGTGCGACAAGTTTTTGCCGAGTCATGGTTTCACAACATGAATTCAGGTATAATGATTGGCCATCAATATCAGTTTGCACGCCATTTTTCTGCTCCACGACCGCATCGTGAAAGTTTCAACAGAGCAAACAGGGTGTTTTGGTGGTTCAACTCGGCCCCGCATCAGTTCTCTTCTTGTTGATCAATTGAGGTCGGAAAGAGAGTGAGTAGACAAGGATGAGAGGCCATATTCTGGGTAGCTGAACGGAAGAGAGGCCATGTTTTTTGGGTTGCTGAGTGTTTCAGAGAATGGTTGGGTACAGAATGTTTACAGAGAACGAAGAGTTATCAACTGGTTTGTTATGCTTCAAGCTCAAATTGCTTTGGTTTATAAAGACAGAACGACGAGGCGACACGCGCTCAGGGTGTCAAATCACGTTGGCATCGCCGCGTGTCAGGCGCCCCTTTTGATGGCTCGACGCTTTCTGTCGGGCACGTCTTTGATGAAGTGGGCGCGCTCTTTGATGGCACGCCTTCTTTATGGATTGGGCACGCCTTTTGATGGCACGCCTTTTGAAAGATTGGGCATCAGCCTTTTGAGAAGCGCGCCTTTTTTAAGGGTCCGACAAGACTCTGTAACTGTCACGACACTGATTCGGTTTAGCATCCTTCAAGTGGGTCCGCGACAAACGACTCTGTAAACTGTCCGACATGATTCCGGTTAGCTCCTCAAGGTCGACAGACTCAGTAAACTGTCCGACATTGATTCCCGGTTGCTCTTCAAGGGTCTGAACAAGACTCTATAAACTGTCCGACATTGTTCCGGTTAGTTTCTACAAGGGTCAGCAAGACCCCATAAACTGTCTTCTACACCCGGTCCGAACATTGACCCATAAATGTCATTCCTACACCGTTATGACACCACCATACAGTGTCCTCTACATGGTTATGAACACCCCATAGCACGTGTCTTTCACAACAGTTATGACAACCACCATCCAGTGTCTTCACCAATGGTCTGACACGACCATACAGTGTCTTTATCCTCTTTTTTTTTATGTATTTTCTTGTTTTGTTATCTCTTCTCAAACTCAAGTTGGTTAGTTCCTATCCCCCTTAGAGTTTGCGGGGGGCTGTTTAAAATCACCTACTCTCCACCTATTCACCCACTTTAAACTACTCCAAAACACTAACCCACTAACATACACTAACACCTACTCCACTAACCCTACCCACTACACCACTACCACCTCCACTTCCACTCTACTCTTACTACTAACACTCCACCTCTTCTATATATAGGAATCAGAATTCATTGTAATAAATATCAAAATTTCATTCAATCAATATACATAAATTTAATTCTTCTCTAATCAATTTTATTTTTTTACAAAATGGAATTCAAAATAAAATTAAAAAAGGACTAATAGAAATGCAAAAATTAAAATGAAGAGACAAAATAAAATGATTAAGAAATAACAAAAAAATATACTTAAAATTTTAACCATTTCAGTCTTGGATATTAAAACTCAAAACAAATATTTAAACTAAAAATAATAAAACATTCTTAGACAGAGTAATTGCAAAATGAACTTCTTTCAACAAATAATTAAGAATATACATAAAATTACAAGGAAAAATTATTGGGTTTCTCAGAATTTTTTTTTTTTTTTGGGGGGGGGGTTTGTTTTAGCAAACACAAAAAATAACCAAAAAACAAAAAAAATTTGAAAACGAAGCTACAGGGAATGCAATCACCTCCCCCATGAACACAACATTTCAGCTAGAAGATTAGAAGGAGGAAAGGAAAACCAAAAAAAAAAAAAAAAAGGTAGAGAAGAAGAAGAAGAAGAACGAAGAAAGAAGAAGAAGAGAAGAAGATAGAACAGGGAGTACCATTTCATAAAATAAGTATTGGGAAAGCAGAGCAACCAGGGACTCCACCGTACCTAGCAAAAAGAGGGTCTTCTTTTGCGATTCCGCTTCCGACTGTAATGTACTGACAAATCCCAAATCACCCTTTCCTTGGTAAATCATTCAAGCTCAATAACTAGCTTAATAATTAAATTGAGAAATAATTTTAGCTTCTATTTTATTGTTAATTTTTAACTTAGTTAATTGAGCTTGAAATGATTTATACAAGGAAGGGTGAATTTGGGATTTTCAGGTACATTAACAGTCGGAAGGGAATCAAAAGAAGACCCTCTTTTGCTATGGTACGGTGGAGGCCCTGGTTTGCTCTGCTTTCAATGGACTAAATTTATGAAATTGGTACTCCTGTTCTTCTTACTTCTTCTTCTTCTTCTTTCTTCTTCTTTTCTTCTCTTCTTCTAACTTTTTTTTTTTTTTTTGGTTTTTCTTCTTCTCTCTCTCTTAATCTTACGCTGAACATGTGTGTGTTCATGGGAGGAGGTTGATTGCATTCCTGTAGCTTCTGTTTTCATTTTTTTTTTTTTTTGGCTTATTTTTGTGTTTTTCTAAAACAAACACCCCCCCAAAAAAAAAAAAATTCTGAGAAACCAATAATTTTTTCCTTGTAATTTTATGTAATTCTTAATTATTTTGTTGAAAATCATTTTTGATTACCTTGTCTAAGAATTGTTTTAGTTATTTTTAGTTTTTGAATATTTAGTTTTGAGGTTTTTAATATCCAAAGCTGAAATTTAAATTTTAAGTATATTTTTTTTTTTATTTTCTTAATCATTTAGTATTGTTCTCATTTTAATTTTTGCCATTTCTAATTAGTCTTTTTTTAATTATTTGAATTCCATTTTGTAAAAAAATAATTGAGAGAGAGAATAAACTTGTATGTATTATTGATTGATGAAATTTTGATATTCTATTACAATGATTCATGATTCTATATTAGAAGAGGGGAGTGTGTAGTAGGTTAAGGAGTAGGATGAAGTGGAGGTGCGTAAGTGGTGTAGTGGGTTAGGTTTAGTGGAGTAGCGTGAGGTGGTAGTGGTGTTAGTGGGTTAAGGTTTAGTGGAGTAGGTTTAAGTGGGTGAAGTAGGTGGAGAGTAGGTGGATTTTAACAGCCCCCCGCAAACTCAAGGGGGATAGGAACTAACCAACTTGAGTTTGGAGAGCAGTACAAAACAAGAAAATACATCAAAATAAGAAAGAGGATAAGAGACACTGTATGGTCGTGTCAGACCATTGGTAGACACTGGATGGGTGGTGTCCATAACGTTGTAAAGCGACACTGTATGGGGGTGTCATAACCATGTAGAGGACAACTGTATGGTGTGTCAGATAGGTGTGAAGACAGTTTATGGGGTATTCGGACCGTTGTAGAAGACAGTTATGGGGTCTTGCTGACAATTTTCCTTTGTAGAAATAATCCGGTAATTCAATGTCGGCGAACAGTTTTAATAGAGTCTTGTCGGACCCTTTGGAAGGAGCGAACCGGAATTCAATGTCGGGACAGTTTTTACTGAGTCTTGTCGGACCCTTGAAGGAGCTACCGGAATCAATGTCGGGACGTTTACAGTCTTGTCGACCCTGAAGGAGCTAACGGAATCAGTGTCGGGACAGTTTACAGAGTCTTGTCGGACCCCTTAAAAAAGGCGCGCTCTACAAAAGGTGTGCCCAACTCTTTCAAAAGGCGTGCCATCACAAAGGCGTGCCCAATCCATAAAAAAGGCGTCGCATCAAAAGGCCGCGCCCACTTCATCAAAGACGTGCCCGACAGAAAGCGTCGAGCCATCAAAAGGGGCGCCTGACACGCGGCGATGCACGTGATTGACAGAGCGCGTTCGGCCTCGGTCGTCTTCTGTCTTTTATAAACCAAAAGCGAAGTTTGAGGCTTGGGAAGCATAACAAACCAGTTGAAACCTCTTCGTTCTCTGTAACATTCTGTAACCAACCATTCTCTGAAACACTCAGCAACCCAAAAAACATGGCCTCTTCTTCCCGTTCAGCTACCCAGAATATGGCCTCTTCATCCTGTGGTCTACTCACTCTCTTTCCCGACCTCAATGAGTCAACAAGAGAGAGAACCTATGCGGTGGCCAGTGAACCTCAAACCAACACCTCTGTGTTTGCTCTGTTGAACTTTCCCCGATGCGGTCGGTGGAGCAAAAAAATGGCGGTGCAAACTGATATTGAGAGCCATATCGTATATCTGAGTCAATGTGTTGGAAACATGATGCGGTCACACTTGTCGCACGGGCTGCAGAGCAGGACAATGAGGTGCAACAGGTTAAACTCCAGCTGGCTCTGATCCAACGCATGTATAAGGATGCGCGACAGAGATAGTGTGCTAAAGGCA